GCAAAGTATCTTTTTCTTGCTTCTTCACCCTTTTCTCCAATACCAAACTAGTTCTTCACCTAAAACTGAAATACTACCCTGAATGGAAAGTCTGTATTAAAATGTACACACCCTATTTGAGACATGACCCCACTCGCTTGTTGTTTGGTTTATGCCATATGAAAACAGTTCTGACCTAAACTGCATTCGTGAACTAATATGCCTTTGCCTTTCTCAAAGTTTAGGGAGTGCAAATAACAGTTGGCTTCACTTCTGCTTATCATCAGGCTCCAAATGTTTTTGGTTTCTTTTAGCATTCAACAGTAATTCTCAAACCAGCTCTTTCCAGAGCCTATAAACAAGCTGTGACCATTGCCACCATTTTGAGTCATAACTGTACAAAAACCCCCATGTGTTTGGTAATGAACTGGGAGGGTCAAATACAATCACATTGCAGTTTTTAAGGGTACAAGTGAAATAGTTCAGTGCTGCTAAATGGTAGATGATTTTCTAGAGGCTCTTAACTAGAAATATTTTCTAGAATTAGTTGAGAAAATAGTTTTAGAGGATTTTAAGTAGTCCCTCCTTAGTTTTAACATTCTATTCAACTTGATAAATGGAAAAGAGGAAAATAAGGAGGTTTTTTCCTTTATCATCCCAAATTCACACAACAAACTACCCTAGTGAAGATGTGCCCAAGTAGAGCAAGCAGACGATATGCATTATTAAAGAAATATGTTCTCTCACTAAGATGCCAGTGATAAAGCACTGTGTGAGATGCGGAGAACAAGGGTGCAATCTGCAGTGGAACAAATTATCCTGTAACTCAGTAACTCAGTCTTAGAAAGATACACTTTCTGTATTCTTGCTGCATTCCCTTCTAGTTCCCCCCTCCCAGGTTTCCCTACACATCAGGAAAACAAGACTCCACTAAAACCCCTGCACTAATGCAAGAATCACAGAAGTTCAAATAAAAATGTCTCTTTTATTGCAACTACCACACAGTGTTTTCTAATGAGCATTCCAATATTTTGTGAAGAACCAGAAATGGGATCCTCAGTTTGTATTATGTTGTCAAAATGACACTGCAATTACATGGAGCCAAAAAAGGTTTAATGTGCAGTTACTTTTGAATGAACAGCAGTTAACTGCCACAAGACTAATCTTTCCCTTCTTTTCTTGCAGCTGGGTTCTCCTTACTCAACTGACTGAAGTTCACAAACCAGAAAAATCAGTAATCATGTGTGGGTTAAAGATGCAGTAATTTTTATAGTTTTCCCCCTCCATCATGTAAATCAGCATTTCCCAGAAACCATTAGAATGTTATTCTTGGGACCCTGTTACCAATATCATGTAAGCCGGGAATCTTCTCCCTAGGGATTACGAATAGCCTCCTGCAAGTCAGAATTCCTCTCCTCACTGATAAAAGGCCAAATCCTTTCTGGCTTGCAGGTCATTTGACTTCGGCAGGGTCCAGCAGAATAATTCTGCAAGTAAAATTTATCGTCCATAGAATTGCTGTAAATAAAAGTACAAGAAAAGAATGTTTTGCTTCTGAAAATAGCACATAAGGATAACTAAAGACATTAATGCATGTGAGGAAATGATGATTTATTGTTCTAAGTAGTTTCTGTTTAATCATCATCTTGCACACTATTGGTTTAGCGACTATTTTAAAGTGAAGATTCTCATCCCCCTGAGTTGAGATGTCCCGTAGGTGTCCGGGATTTGCTTTTTCCAAAGATGAACTAGCTTCAGCATAGATTTTTATGTGCCACCACAGCACAAGTTGTGGAAGAAAAAAGGTCCGCAAGACAAGGGTGTTCCAGAAAGGAAACAGCCACAAAATCTGTGGTGACAAAAGGCTGTCTCCATTTTGCTGCTGAAGTGCAGAAGTAAATCTATTTGTGCATAAAGCACTCAGATACTACAGCAAGAACTATCAGAGTTTAACGTGGAAAAAACCTGATCTGGCAGAGTCTGGATGCTATCTGGTAAATGTGGACTGGGAGGCAGTTTTAAAGAAATAATTACTGAAGAGCTACAGCATTTGCTGATCACTGGGCAATTTGTGCTACATGACAAAGTATTGCATGCCTGTCAGATTCATTTAACAAGCAGAATAACTAGTTTTTGTATAAATGGTAAAGTCCCTTTTTAAAATATTCTCCTTTTTTTTATTATTTCAGGCACTGTGTAGTGCTGGGTTTGGGCTGTTTCGTTTTGTTGTTGGTTTGGGTTTTTTTCACTTTCCTATCAATATTATCCCCAAAACCCCTGTTAATAATAAACATGCAATTCCAAGGCTGCTGTATTTCACGTATACAGTCTCATTCAAGATTTAAATCTTGTCTGCAGAATATGTGGTTAATGCATGCAAATGCTGGCACATTTGCACCTTGCGATCTTCTGCAAATTAGGTTCAAATTAGACATCTGGGATGAAAACAACCTCCTTGAATCAGTAAGTCCTGAATTTTGCTTTCATTTTGCCTTTTTTACTCACTCCTCTCATGCATACTTTTAACGTTAGTTGAAAGCAAGTGAATGGAAACAGAGTAATGAGATATTTCTGTGCTACATAGGAACATGAACAAACATGTCTCTGTTCATCAGAGTGAATTAAAGCAAGCTGCAGATAAGAAGTCATTTTCCCCTCAGAAAGCATCATGTATAAATAATTTTCCAAAACAACCATTGTGTATATAGTTTGGTAACATCTGTAATTTATATGACCAGCATAAATAAAAATGGATTTTAGCTTAAAGTTGGATATCTGGGCTTCTGTGGCATTTTTTCCAGATAGAACAAAAAGAGTCAAGCCTTCCTTGTGATGATCTCAAGTCTGAACTACAAGTAGTAACAGACTTCTAAAGCAGCAAACATAACTTTACCTCACACCGGCTAATTGAATGCTTTTTCTTTCTAACCTCAATACAAACGAAACGGCGGGTAACCTGTCCTTTTGACCATGTAAACTTCATGGTGAGTACTGTGAGTACTGTTTCATGAAACAATCTTCCCTCTCCTTCTTCCTTGCCCCTTGTGCAATGCAACTCTTCAAGACTCTCGAGTCTTGACTTCAACACAATATACTTTGTGTTACTGAATAGCATTGTGGATAAGGTTTTGGCATTACTGCTCCTACTATTGTTTAAACTCAGATTTCACAAGCGGTAGGTTTAACATTTAATTGAAAGCCATGTGACTTTAAATCAGTTCACTCCTTTAAAGGAAAACTGGGGTCATTTTCTGTAAGATAAATATATACAGTCCAAGCCTCCTTCCATTAAAAAAGTGAGAATTTTGTCCTTATGCCACTTTGAGTAAGAACAGGGCTCTCTAGCAAAATGATGGGGGGAGAGAGAGGGAGGAGAGAAAAAATTGTACTGAAAGGGATGCCTCAAGACACTGCCAGAAGAAATGAAACATCTGCTTTTAAGTACTTTTACTGTGGTTGTGCTTTCACTGTATTTTGCAACAGCAGAGTCAAAAATAACAGGAAAATAAAAAAAAAAACCCCAAACGTGATTGTTCTGTACGTTTTGTCTTGCCACACCACCGTAATGATTCCAATCAAAAAAAAAAAAAGTGAAAACAGCCATTTACCTTCTGCTACAGCTTTCATTTATAGCCACATTTATACCCACTACTTGGTAGCATTTCATACCATACAAAAGATACCAAAAAGGATCCAAGTATCTTGCAGACTTGCATCAAACCCTGAACTTAATTCCTTCTGGCCTTTGTTGACACATACACAAGACAAAACTTGCCACGGCAAAGTAGCACCAAGCGTCCTAGCAAATAACACAGTTGCAAGAAAGATTACATGAAGGAAACCAAAACTACTTTGTCAAATTATTCCCTGGGAAGGAAACTCTCAACTGACAAACGCTGGGAACTGTTAAGACACTCAGCCACCTGCAGTTTATAGGCATTCTTAGTTTCTGTAACTTGGATGAAAATCTGGGTTACAGTTCATAGCGGTTTCAGCTGTTTGTACAGCCCTTATTGCACTGGCATGCCTTCTTTCTGTGCAGTTGAGACCATGGCTGCCCTCACAGGCCTCTGCCCCAGCTCCTGCTTTCCAGCGCTAGCCCACCGCTCCGCCAGCGAGTATCCCACCAGCAGCACTTGCAAAGGGTCATTTTCTCATCGCTACAGAGGGAAAGGGTGGCGGGGGGTGTCCGGGGCTGGAAAGGGGGTTTCTGGTTTCTGTTTCGACTTCCCCTCAGCCGCCCCTTCCGGATACTCCGCTGCCTTCCCAGAAGTCACGTGGCGCGGCTGTTCCCGGCTCGCCCTCCCCTCCTCCCGCGCCTGCGCATTAGGCCAGGCAGGCTCGGCTGGGGGCGTGCTGAGGCGGCTGTGCTCGGAGCTCTTACTCTGCGGCGAGGAGGAGGCGAGGAACGGCGCTAGGAGCTTTGCGGCGGTGCAATAACTGCACCTCAGGAGAAAAGCCCGGTGTAACTAACCGGCGGCTCCCTGCGACCAGCCACCGCTGGCCAGCTCGCCGTCCTTGGTGCTGTCTAGGGATCGCCCTTTGAGCTTTACGCTTCACTGTCTTTCCTCCTGGGGGAACGGGAGCCATCTACTAAGAGTCTTCACTCCCGACAGGGTCACCTCCTTCCTGCAGGGACACCGTAGCAGCATCGCCACCCTCCCAGGCAGCGGGCCGTGTTTTCCTTTCACCGTTACACCTGCTCACAGATCCTGCTGCTTAAACGTCCCGTAGCCACTCTGCGGCTGCACATTCCCTCACACGCTTCCAGCACTGCTCGGGAGCGCCAGAAACAGAGGCGTCCCTGGGGTCGGCGCTCTCCCTGTTATTGTCAGCACCTGATGGACAGCTTTTTCCTAACGGGTGCAGCCGCTGCCTGTCCACCCCGCCCAGCTCTCCAGTCGGGCCGCCGGAGCCCCGCGGCACGGCTCAGCGGCGGAATCACCCCGATCCCACCCCAAAGCGGAAGGGAAAGGGCTGTGGGCGGTGCATCCCGGCATTCTCGCACTCCCATTGGCAGAGGCTGCAGGGGGCTAGGCTCTGATTGGCCCCGCGGTCCGCCGCCGGTCCACGGCTTCTCGGGTATTTCTGGACAAGAGTGAGGGTCTGTGGAGTGGCGTTGGAGTGCAGCTTCGTCTCACGGGTAAGTGCGGGCGGTCGAGGGCGGACCGGCGCTGCCGCGGTGGCGGGGCGGGGAAGGTAGGCCTCGGGGCCGGCCATCCCCCGGCCTTTGCTCCTGAACTACCATCGCGCGGCTGCGCTGCGATCACCCGGGAGCGACGTGAACTGTTAGGAGGCAGCGGGGTTAAATGTAGTTAGTGGGCAGCCAGGAGCGAGTGCGAGCTTGGTGCACGGGTGTTACCGAGGCCCCCACAGCTACAGATGAGCCACCCATTTAGGGGCTTCCAGCAGGGGCTCTTCTCTCCAGAGACTGCAGTTGTATTGCCCTTACCCAGGGCAAGGCAGACCAGCAAGATGTCCCTCCTACACCACCTCACTTCTCAGTGACAGCCTGTATGCCAGTGTCATATACTGGGATCCGTGTATCCCAGTACTGGTCTCTCTAGTGCTATCTCCACAAAAGTTGCCGACTTCCTGCTTTTTAAGTGTTTCTCTGCTTGCATCCTCAAGGATCACGTTTGCTGCATTATCATATTGTTCTGTAGCCACCTCTTTGGATGGTTTCTGCCACCAACCCTAAGTCCTTTCCCAGTCTGATTGCTTTAAGACACAGGAAGACTGGAGTACATTTGCATTTAAGGACTAGAGGAAAAATAATTAAGTTCATGTATTTAGACAAAATCTTCCAGCTTAGCTTTCCTTGCCAATGTCACATTAAACTGTTTGCCTTGGTGCCGCTACAGTATAATCAAATGGTGTGTTACTTGTAATCTGAATCCCATGCTTGGTCTCAGTCCTGTATCGAAATCTTCAAAGCCCTCACATTAAACATAATTGCATTTTAAACTCTCATTTACTTCTCGCGCTTAGCATGTGCCACTCAGCAGCTGAGGAAACGGGCATGGAAACACGGACTGGCAGTAAGCCCTTTACCCCCTTGCCACCCTGTTCTTCGAATAGGTCTTAGAACCCTTTTAAGGAAAAGTTGCAGATGGGAGAGAACTTGCATCCCACCACCCATGTTCTCATCCTGGACTTATCCTTGGATATATCTTTATATGCCATTTCCACTACAGGATCCTAACTTGCAGCCCAGTGAGAAGACTGTAACTAGTCTGCAGCTAGAGACCGTACATCAGAACATAAAGCCACTCTATCATAGAAGTGTCATCGTACAGCATAGCTTCTGTCAGTCATATTGATATTAAGTAACCTTTGTCTGCTGCACGGATTACTTGAATTTAACCTGAACATTTGATCTTGGGAACTACGTATCAGAAAAAATATCTTCCCCGTACTTCTCCATTTCAGGTGATTTGAGATCTAGTCCATATTCAGAGCAGCAAATGGGGCACAAATATCACCTGAAAAAGGGCCCCCTAGAGGTTTGGTTGGGTTTTTTTCCCCCACTCACACTCTTGATGTTGGGGAGCTCATTTGCACCAATGTGAAATGAAATTCCACATACAGGATCTCAGTCAGGCAGTGTACAGGATCCTGGTGGGATTGGGTGTAGAATCCAAAGAGTGAAAACAAGAAAACTTAATGGGTTGGGATAAAGGCAGTTTAACAAGTAAAGCAAAAGCCGTGCTCACAAACAAAGCAAAATAAGGAATTAATTCTCCACTTCCCATGGTCCAGGCAGGGGTTCAGCCATCTGCAGGCAGGCAGGGCTCCATCATGTGTTGCTTGAGAAGACAACTGTTTACACTGTTCTTACTCCCACCTCTCTTCAGGATGGCTCAGTGGTATCAGCTACAGCAACTTGATTCCAAGTTTTTGGAGCAAGTTCACCAGCTATACGATGACAGCTTTCCTATGGAGATCAGGCAGTACCTGGCACAGTGGCTGGAAAACCAGGACTGGTAAGCATAGAAACTGGCCTTCAGCTTACGTGCTAAGCAATGTTCTCATACATTCAGTTACAGGCAGCAGCAGAATACTGGGGAGGCAAGCTACTAGGTTAACCTTTGCTGGTAGGACACTTCAGTAGCTGTGTGGGTGCTATAGCCTCTGTTCCTCCCCTCTTCAGGCTGCCTTTCTAGAGGGGACTGACACCTAGAATAACAAGTGTACTATCTATCTCATATTTCCCGTGGCCGTTTTGTAACAAAAGTGGCTGTTTTAAGACCCATCAGTTACTACCTTGGCAGTTCAGTCTCTCGCTGTTCACAGACTGAACTTTTTGCCAAGATTTTGTAGAGTGTCTTCTCTTTAGATGTGCATGGAATGGGTAAATGAAGTTGCACAGAACATGGCAAAAATAGAGCAGACAGCATTTTGTATTAAGGAAAGTCAATGAAACTGGCTTATATTGGAAGGTAATCGTTACTGCTTGCATATACTACAACTGGAGTTGGGGATTAAAAATAATTTACTCCTGTATGTGTTTCTTGAATGCTGTATTAAAAGTGCATTTAACACAAGTATGCCTTAAACTATTATAGGGAACATGCAGCTAACAACGTCTCTTTTGCTACGGTGTTATTCCATGACCTGCTGTCACAGCTTGATGATCAATTTAGCAGATTCTTGATAGAAAACAACTTTCTGCTGCAACACAACATAAGGAAAAGCAAACGTAACCTTCAGGTATGCCTGGGGTATATGTCTATGCATTTGCTTCAATTACTTCAGTAGTGCAATTGGATGCCTCTAGGCAAATTACAGTGCAATGAGGGATCTTCACAGAGAAGGTGGGAATCCTAATTTAAAAACCAGAATCCAAATGTTGTCTTACTTTCAGTTTAATTTGCTACAGTTAGAAAGTTAGTTTCGTTACCAGTACGATTACAGTTTCTGAGAACACGAGGAAAAAGAAAGTTCTAGTTTTTACAGTGTTTACTGGAGCACTTACTTGAATGTAATTTCACTTTTTCCACCCCTTCGTCAGCCAGTTTCCTGAGCATCCTAATAAGTTTCTAATTCAAAACAAACACAGGGTAAGAAATCCCTCAAATATAACCACAGGGCTACAGTTAATAGCAAAGGACTTGTCATTAGACAGCACTTCTGTGCCTTGTATTGTACTGACAAAGAAAAGGGCCAAAGCAGTTGGCAGTGAGTGTCAGTGCAGAACTTAATCCTTGGTGACTTACCTACTTCTGTTAGTTGGTCCTCCTCTCCTCCCTGTAGGGCTCTATGCTAGGTGGTCTTCCATAGAGTCACTTTCTCCACAGCATATATTTCCACACACCTAGCTTCTCCTCACCACAAATTGGTGACTAGGGACTGTTTTCTGAACAAACAGGACCAGGCTGTACTTACCTGATAGTAACTACAGACCACCAATGAAAGATCAGTCAAGAAGGCTGGTACAGCTCAGCAACACCATCCCAAGTGGAGCAGGGTAATACTCAATCCAGAGCATGTTTCAACTTTGTATGCATGTAAAACCATAAGGTTGAATTTGTATCCAGCCTTGACTCTGTGTTCATAAATGGCAGCTACACACATCTCCTTTACGTTACTGAGCAAGAGCTGTACCTGCTAAACTATAACCACTGCCCTTCAAAACCAGCAGTTGTACTTCAGAGGTGTGGGAGGGTGGCTCTCAAGAGAAGATGTGCTCTCTCTGGGACTGTAGGGTAGTACCTCACTTCTCCCAGTAATATCTCTGACTCTTTCCTGTTGTTTTGTGCCAAGTTTCATCTCTTCATACACTGATGAACTAAAATAGAAACTCATTCTTTGAGATGGTTGCATCTGTCACATCCCCTGTAATGCTGGAGCATATTATGCTATGACCAATGTGTTTCCTCTCTCACACACACACACACACACACACACACACACACACACACACACACAGTTATCCACTGATCTTTTTGCCAGTCTGTTTACTGAAGTATAAGAAATTATGGGTATGAACTTTAACAACAGACTGTCTCTAATGCCAGGATAATTTCCAAGAGGACCCAATACAAATGGCAATGATCATCTGTAGCTGTCTGAAAGAAGAGAGAAAAATTCTAAGCAGTGCCCAGCTGTCAAATCAGGTAACAGTCTTGGAACATACTGCGATTGTATCTACCCTTTTCTATTGTTTGGGACAGAGGGAGTGGAAGAAAACTGAAAGAAGAAACAGGCTATCTTCTCTGCCCAGCAAAATGTTTCCGGGAGACGAAAGAGTTAACACTAATACATACCAGCTGGACAGTGTGCCTTGTTTGTGCTGTATGAAGCATCTGGAGGGGAAATGGCCAGGAAGTAGTTGCTATTCCTTGAGTGATACAAAAGCTATGCTTTTTTTTTTTTTTCCTTAATTCTTCTGTATAGTCTAATGTACTCATCAGATTTTACTGCAATTTAATAATTAGTGCTTGCCTTGTTTCTCCAGCAAGATTCTAGCTTTTTTCTCCTGCATTTCACTCCTGCACTTACTCCATATTAAGCAGCTGAGCCTTGGTGTTCTCTGGACTGTCGCTGTGAGAAAATGATGCGTCCCCTTTCCAGTTGCCTCCAAGTATTTATTTATTTATTTTTTATTTTTTTAAATGAAGCCCGTTTCGTTCTTCTGAACTATGGGTAAAGCCATGTTCCGCTCCTTCCTCATCTGCTCTCTTACTTTTCATCTTTGTTTTTATCTTTTCAGGGAGAACTGTTTTGCAATAAAAAAAAATCTGCAGTTGGGAAAGGCATGTAAGCAGTATAGCTAGATGTAATCTACTTCTGTGTAATAAAGTGATGACTGACTGAGCATGACAAGTTCTGATACCAAAATACTTCCCCTTAGGGCAAGTTTTTGAATACATATTGGTAGAGCGAGAACATTAAGGCATAGGGTTTCAACAAGGGGCCTGATGCAACTGTGTCCAAAGCAGCTCCTCTAAAAATGTGACTCTTACAGAGCCCTTGGAGCTGCAGCACAGCCATTCAGTTCCTGTTTTGGCCGATGATGCAGTTGGCAGTTGTGAGTGCTATGTATGTGATGCATTTGGGCCATCAAAAAGGGAAATAAGTCATCCTATACTTACTGTTGGCAGTAGGTAAAACACCATGTCTTACCTCTGCTTTTTGGTAAGTGTTCTCATTTCCCAAAGCTGAGAAGATTAAATGCAGAGCAAGAACAATTATAAGCATCATAAAAAATAAAGGAAAATCCCAAATGCACGAGTATGCTCAGATTGCCATCATAGTCTGACATAAATCTATGATGGGGGACCTCTGGCAGTTTACCAAATAAGCTAAGGTTGTCTAAAGTATTTAAGTTGAAGCGTTAGAGCAACAGTGCATTCCTGACTGTCTTGCAGTGGAGGAACAGCAAGCTTCTAACACCAATAGTACTGTTAACATGCAGAATGAAAAGATCCTGCCTTTTAAATTACTGCAGCTCTCTCTAAGTGATGTCATGTAATAAAATTCCTGAATGTTACTGAGGTCAGCTTTCAGAAAAACTGTACAGAGATCTAAAATGTGCTTGAATGCTCAGTAGTAAAGAAATTACATACCAAGTTACCCCATTTGCCTATATACAGACATATCCTGTTCTTTACTCTTAGCCCATTTTTCTCCATATGCCCTATGGATGAACATAATACTTGATGTAGATGTCATCCAGCCTTCAGGGCTGCTGTTTCTTTGAAATACATTTAGAAGATACATGAAAATAAGAAGAATATATTTGTGCAGAGAGAAAACAAAATATGTTTATAGCTTTATATTGCTATGATGAAAATACATCATTACCACACAACAGGCAATTTTTAATCCTCCCTTGTTTCTGCAGATTCATCAGAACCCAATTTTGTATTATAAAGCCTTAGTATGATCTGTCAGAACCAGCCAGCTTCATCAGGTTGATTGTCAACAAAAGCCACTAACTTACATTAATGAAAAAGTATTTGCTGTCATCAGTCACTCTGGTTTGACTTCTGTTACTGTTCTGTTTGTTCCTCAGATGGAGGTAGGGGGTATACAGAACACTGTGATTGGGATGCTGGACAAACAGAAGGGGCTTGATGTGGAAGTTAAAGGTGTAAAAAACAGTGTTATAGTAAGTATAGTAGAACTTTTTAAAGTAGCGTTTGTTAATTCGCAGATGTTGAAAACTTTTGGTACATGAGTTATTTTAAAATAAAAATAATGAAAAAATGGTTTGGTTTTCAAGTTATAACTGGTGATTGAAAATAGAAAGTAATTATTTGTTAGTAGCAACATAATACAGATTGGGATTTGACTGGTTTAGCCAGATCAAATTTCTTGTGCCTAAATTTTAACAACAACATTTTACCCATCTGAAGTACTAGCAACTGAGGAAACTCTGAAGAAGTGATATACTGACTAATTTGGTATTAACTAGAAGATAGATTTTCATTTAGCATATGTATTTATGGTCTTGTCATGACAGATATTGCTTGGAAAAAAGATTTCTAAGAATTTGAGGTTTTGTTTTAAATGCTGTGTACTGTTCCAAGGTTTCCCACTCTAGCTTAGGTTCTCATGAACTCCATATTTTCCATACTTTATTAATAACAATTATAGTTAGCTAAGAGGAGGAGGAAGGTTGAGTCAGTAAAAGGTTGTTAAGTTTAGGCATATTTCCTGTTAGGGAGGTCCAGGAAAAGGCATGGCTACAAAACTGGACTTCATCTCTGTAAAGGGTTGATACCATGCAATTCCTAATCACAAGTTACTCATTACATGAAGGTATTGAATAATTGTGGCCACCTTAATTTGTGCTTTGTAGGATGTGGAGCAAGACATCAAGACATTAGAGGATATGCAAGATGAATATGACTTCAAATGTAAAACCTTGCAGAATAGAGGTAATACCAAGGACATATCCCATTGCATGTACTTTCTCACGGTAAACTGCTGTCTTATGTCAGGATTCTAAACCTAATGAGATGTAGCCAAACTTATTGGCAATGTCCCTTCTTTATTAATTCTGCTTTGATAATGTCCCTCCTTCATTAATTCTGCTTTGTGCTGAAACCTAAATTCCTGAAAATGCATTCTCTGCTTCTGTCCTGACAAGTAAAAGAGCCTCTTTGTTAATGTAGTGTTCTTTTGTCCTTTACATCCTTTTGGTACTAGAAATAGCAAACCCTATAGATTTTGTGATCATTCAACCTTACACCTGAATATTCAAGTTTAGGCTTCTCTTTGCTATCTTGTATTTCACAAATGCCTTCCTGCTTCAAGTTTTGTAGGCGTTTGTCTACCAAGGGAAGCACGTGCAGCTGGTTTCATTATATAGATCTGTCTTTTTGACTTTGTTCTAGAAAAGGCTTCAGTTTCCAACACAAATGAGCAGTTGACTGTCCCTCAGAACAGGGATGTGTTCAGAAGATATTAAGGGGAGCATTGAGCCACAATCTTGCTCTTTGTGTCTGGGGGCAGGTAGCACTTCCATGAGGCAGATGGGAACCTCTAACCTAAGGTCATTGGCAGCAGAGGTAGTAACTAGAGTGACTGTAGGATCTGTCAGCCTGGGCTATCCTCAGGAGGCTGTAAACATCCTCCCTTAAAATAACAGTTAGCTACTGTTGCAAGGTTAAATACTAATTATTCATGTCTGAAGTCAGCATGAGAACAAATTGCTCAGCATGTATCTTTATGCAATATAACTATTTTAGATTAGTTTCTTGCTCTTAAGAAGTAAGCAAACTCAAATCTCAATTACTTCACTGGGGTGACAGCTTTCCCTTGTGTTAGTGCTTCAGGTGTAGACTGTCCTTTCAGAAGGAAAAGGAATCATAATAACCTAGAAGGCAGTAAACATTTTCTCCCTTAAGCTTTAAAGATATACCTAGACATTAGCCAGGCAGGTCCCCTCCTCCCCTCAGTGGTTTTCTCACTCATACTTCAGCACTCCACCAGGCTCACCTTCACAATTTGGACTTATTTTACAGAGCACGAGTCCAACAGTACGTCGCAGGAGGAATATAAGAAAGAACAGATGAATCTCAATAAGATGTTTTTATCACTTGACCTGAAGAGAAAGGTAGCACTCAAGTTTTCTTTCAGGAGGCAACAGCACTTCATTTTGACTGCATTTTCATTGGATTTTCATTGGCTTGGCATAAATTATGTAAAAGAAAACTTTTCTACTACTATTAGTTGTGTTAAGATTTCATTCTTTCCACCCTGACTGAAAATCTGGGATCTCTGTAAGCAATTCTGATTCTCTTTAAGGAGCCTTTACCAAACTCTCAGGTAAAGCAAAACAGTAAGAGGGAAAAGGTGTCCTATCAATACCATTAGAGTTAAAAGTGCTCACTCTTCTTGTAATGCTCAAAACTACAGCAAACACTGGGTAATCCCAGATATACACCTGGGACATCCATGAAACATTGGCTCTTCAGAATTCAGCGATACTGAATGTGCTTTGTTTCTCCGTTGTTCCTTCACTTAATGTAGCAACTACTCCAGTTAAAACAAAGCGGGTGTTTTCTAAAAGCAGCCTCTGTTGACAGAAGTTAGTACTCTGAGATGCTTGCAGAGTTTTGCAAGACAGATAGCATTAGCTAAAACAGTACTTAGTTTTCCTGTGTGAAGTATTTTTAATAAACAGGGTAATTTAATACTCTCTGTAGGAAGTGGTGAACAAGATAGTACAGCTGCTGAATGCCACAGAGCACACACAGACTGCTCTTATTAATGAGGAGCTGGTGGAGTGGAAACGCAGGCAACAGACAGCATGCATTGGTGGCCCACCCAATGCCTGTCTTGACCAGCTACAGAACTGGTAAGTCTGTATTCAAGGACTGCATTGGACGGGAACTTGTAATGTTTTACAAGAACACTGGATCTGTGAAATACCCTGGTGATTTGTATTATACATTTTCATTCTGTCACAGTATAACTACGTTTCATTGATTTTATTACCTTACCACATTTCCAGTGAGAAAGAAGTGTTCTCTGTACACTGCCTAGTCCTTTGGGACAATCACCTGCCGTCTCAGCATTATTACACTAAAAAACATGCTAACAGTAATAAGACTGTGTAATTGTAGGTTCACTATTGTTGCTGAAAGTCTACAGCAAGTTCGTCAGCAGCTCAAAAAGCTTGAGGAGCTGGAACAGAAGTTTACCTATGACCCTGATCCCATCACAAAAAATAAACAAGTTCTGCAGGACCGAACACACAGTCTTTTCAAACAACTCATCCAGAGGTAACAGACAAGAAGTGTCTTTTTGCATGAATAAGGGGATGGAGAGCACCTTCTCTTCCGTTTCCTCAATGTTTCCTGAATGCTAACTTTGCATTTTCTGAGGTTTTCCTAGGTTTGTCACAAACATTAAAATAAATGACCACTTTTGAGATTTACTCCATCTAGGGTTTCCACAGGTTTAGGCCCATGGAAAGGGTTTGTGATCAGTCATCATTTAACTTGGCAGGAGCTATGCTACAACATGCGTTGACTACAGAATCAAACTCCTAGGCTGCTAGTCCTTTTCATGCTTTAAGCTTCAGCCCTGCAAAGCTCTGGTAAATGGAGGCAGGAAACTATCTGCCCTAACCTATGCCCAAGGTAAATGCACGCTAGATTCTCCAACCCTTTGTCTCTGGGCACCTCTTTTCCTTGAGCTTAGAGATGTCAGCCCTATTACTACCATCTCCACGATGCAAAATCCTGTAGCTGGTAGTTGTCAAACATAAGATCTGAGTCCCATTCTGTAAACATACAGTAGGCAAATTGATGCTGCAGAAGACTTGAATCTAGCAGATAAGAGAGGGGCTTTGATACAGGAGGTAACACTCTGTTATGGGGGGGCTAGAACCCAGGTTTTCTGAGTCCTGTTCAGATGCCTTGACCCCTAATCTTCAATTGGAAAACATAGGTACTGTTTTTTAAATGAAGTGAAGGCAATGAGGAAGAGCTGTAGAAATCCAGCTGCTGTTTAGTTATCTTGCCTATAAGTATAGTTGAAGGAAAGGTCTCCATGCTGTGCAGGGCTAGGTAACAATTTCAGGATTTAGGTCTACACAGCACAGTTCTACACAAAAAGGCACCCAAAAGAGCAACAGTTTGGAGTGTCAGAACAAGTTAGCCTCAGGAGGTTCCTTCATGGGGTTAGCTAGCCATTATCAAATCCCCAGCTAGTTTATCTGGCTCTTCGGCATGTTCTTACATAGCACTGTAACTAAGTGTAGCAGGCACTGGGATTGGCAAACAAAGCAACACTCTCCTTACTTGGATTGTGCTGAGTTACATCAGTGTTTATATGCCGTTTGATTTTAGGGAAGTTTGAGGTAGTGCTGTCCTTCCACAAGCCATCAGTATATTTAGGAAAAGCCAATCCTTGTGAAATCACTTTATACTTGCAATATTTCTAGCCCCATTGATACAAATGAAAGAAACCAACACACACCCCTCTGTGTAGATTGAAACGGAATGAACAAAGTGTGTAGTACTACTGGTAATTCACTGTTCTTTTGAAGTTCGCTTTTTACATAACTTCTTATTCCTTAAGTACAACATTGATAAATAAGAGTTCTTTTAATCTGTTTTTTCCATAGCTCCTTTGTGGTGGAGAGGCAGCCTTGCATGCCAACACATCCTCAGAGGCCACTAGTCCTGAAGACAGGAGTACAATTTACTGTAAAGCTAAGGTATGTTTTCCCCTTTCCCCTTCCTGTTTTGTGGTAAGCCTGTTGTGTCACCAGCTTCCTACAGCCGAGAGGATTGCACATCTTACACTTGTAGCCCAGGTGCTATGGTCAAGAGGAGGAAAGTGCCACGTGGCAGGGAGTCTATCTTCTAGCAAAGTTTAACTTGCATTAACAGAATTGAGGGACATTGAATATACAAGAAACACATCCACAGGCAAGAAAATATGTGCAGACAGCCTTGCCAGCAAAACCAGTAACTTGTCCATCTACTTTCCCCTCTAAACACTATCTTGTATGGAGCAAGCTTGGAGCCTGTATGCAACCCAGAGTTGTGCAGCTTAAATATATATCTGTGATAAGTAACATAGTAGAAGAGAATCTGTCTTTTGCAGCTGCAGTCATTTAAAAAAAATTCTCTTTCCAGATTGCTGGTGAAATTGCAAGAATTGAACTACAACTTGAAAGTGAAAGTCTTATTCGATAAGTATGTTGCATTTTTCTCATCTCTGTGTTTATTAATGGTAAGCAGTCCCCATCTTCAGACATCCAAAAGGCAGTGATATTTAAGTGTTGAGTTGACCAGGAGCAGGCTGATTCTCCATGGCAGCAGGTATACCCTCCATTTTTTATACTCATGCCCTTGCTCTAAATCTCTCTGCCATTGGAGACATGTCACAGAGTACAGACAACTTCATCTTCTCACCACTAGCTCCACTCGGGTGCACCAAGGAGAGCCCACTGCTGCTAAATCAGTTTAAGCACAGAGCAGCACTTGTGCTTTTGCAGAGCACATGCTGCCCTTCTCTGTTGTGCGAGTTTCACTTGGGCTAGCACTAGATGAAAGCAGAGAATTGAGCTTTCAGTTGCATGGAATTCAGTCATGTCTTCTAAAAGTCTTACTTTTTGGGTAGTCCCTAGTGAAGAATAGCTATTCTAAAGCTATCTCTGAATTAAGAGTATAAGCAGTCTACCATTAACATATCACATGTTCCCAGTTTGTGGAAAACTTAAAGGAATCTAAGCTGACTACTACCAACGTTTTGTAAGCAAGTTCATTTTTTTAAAAGCAATACGGTTCAGATGAAGGAGAGGTAGGTGAGAATGTGGGGCAAGGCCAGCCCACAAGGCCACATAGGGAAAGGGAGTCAACTTTGCACCTCAAGACTGCCTCTGTTAAGAAAGAAAGAAGGGTCATTGTAGTAGGGGATTCCCTTCTGAGAGGAACAGAGGGCCCGATATGCAGAGTTGACCCTCATCATAGGGAAGTGTGTAGTCTGCCTGGAGCCCGGATCAGGGATATCACCAGGGCGCTCCCCAACCTGGTGCACCCGACAGACTATTACCCGCTGCTGGTCTTCCAGACAGGTGGGGAGGAAGCTGCTTCCCGCAGTCTGAGGGGGATGAAGAAAGACTACAGGGCCTTGGGGCGGATGGTGAAAGAGTCTGGGGCTCAAGTGATCTTCTCCTCTCTCCTTCCATCTTCCACTGATGTGGGAAGGAATGGGAAGATTCAGTTCATGAACAATTGGCTTCGAGACTGGTGCTACAGGCAGGGCTTTGGATTCTTTGATAACGGCTGGTTTTATAGGGCACCAGTCTGGACAATGACAAGTGAGAAAGGTTTGTCTCACAGAGGGAAAAGGATGCTGGGGCACGAATTAGCAGGGCTCATTTGGAGAGCTTTAAACTAGATTCGAAGGGGGATGGGCTTGTAGCTGGGCTTGCCCCAGTGGGGCAGCGCTCCAGAATTAATGAAGACTGGGAGGCCTCCTACAATCCTAGGGTGAAATCGGTGTGCTCAGCTCGCTCCCTGAAATGCCTGTACACCAATGCGCGCAGCATGGGAAATAAGCAGGAGGAGTTGGAAACCTGTGTTAAGTCAGGAGATTATGATCTGGTGGCAATTACAGAGACGTGGTGGGACAGCTCACATGACTGGAATATAGTCATGGAAGGCTATGTCCTTTTCAGGAAAGACAGGCCAGCCAGGCGGGGTGGTGGGGTTGCTCTTTATGTGCGGGAGGAACTACAGTGCACAGAGTTCTGTCCAGGGACAGATGATGAGCGAGTTGAGAGTCTGTGGGTGAGAATTAAGGGGCAGGCTGGCAGGGGGGATACTGTTGTAGGTGTCTGTTACAGACCACCGGATCAGGGTGAGGAAGTTGACGAGACCTTCTACAGGCAGCTGAGAGCGGCCTCACAGTCACAGGCCGTGGTCGTCGTGGGGGATTTTAACTTCCCTGATGTTTGCTGGAAGGACCACTCGGCAACCCAGCCACAGTCCAGGAGGTTCCTCCAGTGTATGGATGATAACTTCCTCCTGCAAATGGTGGATGAGCCGACCAGGAGAGGAGCGCTGCTGGATCTCATCCTCACTAACAAGGAGGATCTGGTCGAAGCAGTAAGGGTTGAGGGCTGCCTTGGTTGCAGCGACCACGAGATGGTGGAGTTCAGGATCTTGTGTGGCAGGACTAGTAGAATACCAAGTAGAATTGCAACCCTGGACTTTAGCAGGGCAAACTTTGGCCTTTTCAAGCAATTGCTAGGGGAAATCCCATGGGCAGGGCTGCTTGAAGGTAAAGGGGCCCAAGATAGTTGGTTGACATTCAAGGACTGCTTTTTCCGTGCTCAAGATCGGAGCATCCCGACACGTAGGAAGTCAAGGAAGAGGGCCAAGAGACCTGCGTGGCTAAATAGGGAATTGCTGGGTATGCTCAAGTGGAAGAGGAGAGTTTACAGGTCATGGAAGGAGGGGCTGGCCACTTGGGAGGAATATAAGGCTGCTGCTAGAAGATGTAGGAAGGCAGCTAGGAGGACTAAGGCATCCTTAGAATTAAACCTGGCAAGAAGGGTCAAGGACAGCAAAAAGAGCTTTTTTAAATACATGGCAGACAAAACTAACACCAGAGGCAATGTAGGCCCACTGATGAACGGGATGGGTGCCCTGGTGACAGAAGATAAAGAGATGGCAGAGTTACTGAATGCCTTCTTTGTCTCTGTCTACTCTGCTGCGGGCAGTCCTGAAGAGCCCTGTACCCCTGAGACCTTAGATGAAGTCAGGTCGATGGAGCGGTTTGCCTTAGTCGATGAGGAATGGGTTAGAGACCAGTTGAGCAATCTGGACATCCATAAATCCATGGGTCCAGATGGGATGCACCCGCGGGTGCTGAGGGAACTGGCGGAAGTCATTGCTAGACCACTCTCCATCATCTTTACCAAGTCTTGGGAAACGGGAGAGGTGCCTGAGGACTGGAGGAAAGCAAATGTCACTCCAGTCTTCAAAAAGGGCAAGAAGGAGGACCCGGGTAACTACAGACCGGTCAGCCTCACCTCCATCCCTGGGAAAGTGATGGAACACCTTATCCTTGGTACCATCTTAAGGCATATCAAGGATAAGAAGGTTATGAGGGGCAGTCAACATGGCTTCACCAGGGGGAAATCATGTTTGACCAATCTCTTAGCCTTTTATGAGGAAATAACACAGTGGATGGATGATGGCAGAGCGGTGGATGTGGTCTACCTTGACCTCAGCAAAGCATTTGACACAGTCTCCCACAGCATCCTCACGGCTAAAATGAGGAAGTGTGGACTGGATGATCAGGTAGTGAGGTGGACTGCGAACTGGCTGAAGGAGAGAAGCCAGAGAGTTGTAGTCTATGGGGCTGAGTCTAGTTGGAGGCCTGTGACTAGTGGAGTGCCTCAAGGGTCAGTACTGGGACCGGTATTATTTAATATATTCATCAATGATTTAGATGAGGGAATTGAGTGTACTATCAGCAAGTTTGCTGATGACACTAAGCTGGGAGGAGTGGCTGATACGCCAGAAGGCTGTGCTGCCATCCAGCGAGACCTGGATAGGCTGGAGAGTTGGGCAGGGAGTAACTTGATGAAATATAACAAGGGAAAGTGTAGAGTCCTGCATCTGGGCAGGAACAACCCCAGGTTCCAGTATAGGTTGGGGAACGACCTGTTAGAGAGCAGTGTAGGGGAGAGGGACCTGGGGGTCCTAGTGGACGACAGGATGACCATGAGCCAACACTGTGCCCTTGTGGCTAAGAAGGCCAATGGCATCCTGGGGTGTATTAGAAGGGCGGTGGTTAGTAGGTCGAGAGAGGTCCTCCTTCCCCTCTACTCTGCCCTGGTGAGACCGCATCTGGAGTATTGTGTCCAGTTCTGGGCCCCTCAGTTCAAGAAGGACAGGGACCTGCTGGAGAGAGTCCAGCGCAGGGCAACAAAGATGATTAAGGGAGTGGAACATCTCCCTTATGAGGAAAGACTGAGGGAGCTGGGTCTCTATAGTTTGGAGAAGAGGAGACTGAGGGGTGACCTTATCAGTGTCTATAAATATATAAAGGGGGAGTGTCACGAGGACGGAGCCAGGCTCTACTCAGTGGCAAACAATGATAGGACAAGGGGTAATGGGTACAAACTGGAACACAAGAGGTTCCACTTAAACTTGAGAAGAAACTTCTTCTCAGTGAGGGTGACGGAACCCTGGAACAGGCTGCCCAGGGAGGTTGTGGAGTCTCCTTCCCTGGAGACATTCAAAACCCGCCTGGACGCATTCCTGTGTAACATTATCTAGGTGTTCCTGCTCTGGCAGGGGGATTGGACTAGATGATCTTTCGAGGTCCCTTCCAATCTCTAACATACTGTGATACTGTGATACTGTGTGAATTTAACACTTACTGTAAGGACAGGGAAAGAAATGTAACAGGCTGTCCAAAATAATGACAGTGGCCATGCTTGCAAGAAGGTAGGTGGGTTTTTGTCTTGCCATTCAAGCCTTTTGGGGGCATTCTGTTCATTTGAAACACCTCGGGGGTCCAGAAGCTTGAATGGAATTGGGAAAAGGAAATGAAAAAGAAATTCTTACACGGTGGATGTGGGGGCTGAGGCTTTGAGAAGTGCAGATAAAACACAACTCAGTAAAATCCCAAGGGTTGGGAAAACAGATTGAAGTGGCACAGCAATTTATTTGGTAAGTTGTATGGCTTGAAAGCAGATTTGGAATAACAGTACTATATAATTTCTCAGACCAAGAGTTAAAACCTATCCAGTGAAAGAAAAGACTTTGATTATAAACCTACCATACCAAAATTTAAGCCTCAGTAAAAGACACCCTGTGTAGCACAATATTGATGTTGACTGCCTGAACCAGTTGCTTCTTCTTTTACACTTTGTGCGCTTTTCGCAGAAGCATTTATCAGTTCTCAATCTGCTCTATCAGCCACTAAAACACACACACATTTTCTGTCTGTGGAAGAATCTTTTAGAGATTGTTACTTTGTCTTTTTTTCTTTTTGACAGAGATGTAAGCGAGAAGAACTCGGTCAAAGGGTATGTGGCATCAGTTTGGTATGTTCATGTTGGGTTCTTTCAATGAACTTGAGACTCAAATCATTTTTCTCTCTTTGAGAAGGTTCAGGAAATTTAATATTTTGGGAACAAGCACAAAAGTGATGAACATGGAAGAATCCACTAATGGAAGTCTAGCAGCAGAATTCAGGCACTTGGTACGGGATTTTTTTGTCTTTTATTAACTCATCCATTTAATTGTGTGGGTAGAGGGTGTGGTAGGAAGGAGACAAATTGTTTTTATTGTTGAAGTCATAGTTTCCTTTTCTATTAGAGGAACTGTGGTCATCTCTGCTTTTCTTTGTTCTTCTCTCTTTGAAATCTTTAGCCTGTTTCAATTGAAAAGCTACTGCTTTTGTCACTGAAATAGGGCCAGAAATGAAAACGAGTATTTGCTGCCATACAGTTTATGTTGCAATGAGTTCTTTGGAGGAGTAAGAAAAATAAGCCTAGAAATGCTTTTCTGGGTCTTTAAGAGGAAGGGTCGCAGGTAGGAAAGCTTAGACTACTTTAAAGAGTTTTGGGTCTGGAAGATGAAATGGACAGCTACAAGAAAGTCAGTGCCTTCAGCAAACTATACAACACGTCTGATCTGCAGATTGTGAGATAAGTCAAATTGGTTCCACCATTACAACATGAAAGGAAGAATTCAAGTCCTGACAAGTGAACATGGGATTTCCCCTTCCTCCCTTCATTGCCCAGAACAGATGCTGTGTAGAGCTTATTGTCCATTTCAGAGGGGTACTTCGATAAACCACTATTTCGTCTAATCCTTTCCAATTTCACATTACTTCTGTTCTTATAAGGCTTCTTACATAAAGACATCACATCATAATGGTGCAATATCTATTTTCACAGCTGAATAGTTTATAAAATAGTAGCTACCTACAATTTAATCCTTTGGCTTCCACAGCTTAGAACCAAATAGAGTCAGACACTAGTGCAGCAAGTTTGCATACAGTTGAACTACCAGAGCATGCAAACATTTCCATCCTCTACCACTTTCATTTGTGGCTGATGTAAATGACAGGGTATTTTTTTTGTCTGTTTGCAGCAACTGAAAGAACAGAAAAATGCAGGAAGCAGAACAAATGAGGTAAGCAGCACTCACCTTGTTTGTAAAGCTTTTGCATAATACTAAAAAGGCATTTAAGATGGTGCTCTGCTCAACCCCACAAGGAACCACACGGGATGACAGACTAATAGGAGACAAGTTGAGTCTCTTAAGAAATGTATGTGTAGATGGTGCCTACAAATGAGAATGGCTGCCAGAATGGTGTCACCTCAGGGCTCTCCCTCACTGGCATCTAGCTTTAGCAGGACTTTCAGGCAAGGACAGATTTCTCTATGGCTTCCAGGTAGGTGCAAAAAAGTGCCTAGAGAATACCTATTGTAACAGGCAGTTTTAGGAAGTCAGCATCATCACTTGACTTCGATTTGTAAACTGAGGTCTAGAGCAAGTCATCTTGATCAGAAAAGGCTTTTCCTTTGTGATAAATCCTCTTACCTTCCCCATAAACAATTTTCAATCTCTGAAAGGTTTGTTGGCTTTTGTTTCTTTTAAAGGGTCCTCTCATTGTAACAGAAGAACTTCACTCTCTGAGTTTTGAGACACAGCTGTGCCAGCCTGGCTTGGTAATAGACCTAGAGGTATGTCTTAGGTGATGCAAATGGACTTAAATTCCTGTATGTCACTCATGCTGACAATCTAAACTTTCTTTTTCTTTTGTTTTTTTAGAAGTATCAAGCACTTTCAGTTATTTCAAATATATGAATGACACTTCACAACATCTCTGCATAGACAGATACACTGAGAATGCTGTCAAAACTCTGGCTGAATAGGAGTAGATGTGCTTTGCAAAGTGTCTGATAACCAACCCTGTGCCTTAAGCTCTCTAAGTATCAGTTTTAATTTATTTCAGAAGCAATATGCTATGAACTTTACCATTACTATCAGTGCTGTCATAACTGACACTAAATGAGAAGGTCTTGATCAGACAAAACCACATCTTTCTAATAATTCATCATAGTAACATTTTCACCCCTACACACAGACTTTGAGAAGTTAAGATGATGCAAGTGAGGAATTACAATGGAATTGAGTTTGTAGGTAGTCTAGAGGAGGACAGCAAGACCAGTGCAGGGTAGCCCAACATGTTTCCTTTTGTGTCCCTTTCAGACCACGTCGCTCCCCATTGTTGTTATCTCAAATGTGAGCCAGCTTCCAAGTGGATGGGCTTCTATCTTATGGTTCAACATGCTGTCTACTGATCCCAAGGTATTTAAAAGGAAAATGTATGAGAAATACCATTTGCTGTTTTCAAGCATTGTCTGTATACCAGTGGCTGCTGCATTTTTTTCCATGCACATGACTCTTAATGGCTTTTAGGTACAGAGAGAAGCACAGTGACATACTTCCCTATGCTAAACAGATCAATGTTTCAAACCCACGTAAGGATACTACTATACATTGTATTCAGCATATATAGTACACAGTGAGAAGCCAAATAAACATCCAGGAATTCAAATATAGCACACTTGAATGATCTAGGAATTCTGCCCACTGTAAGAAGGCAAGTCCAAAGCAGAGTCATCATCCCAGAAGTTGCTTTTCCTGGTAATGAGTCAGAATAGCAACTTGCTTTTGCAGCGTTGTCTCAGACTGACATCTATTCTTAAGTCTCCATTTTGTTTCAGGATTACGCTTCTGTAAATTCAAATGCCATTCCAAAATTAGTATTTATTGACTATAGATTGTATTTTTCCCTTCCATTCCAGAACTTGTCCTTCTTTCTGAATCCACCTTATGCAAAGTGGTCTAAACTTTCTGAAGTTCTGAGTTGGCAGTTTTCATCTGTAACAAAGAGAGGACTTAACGCAGATCAGCTGAGCATGTTGGGAGAGAAGCTACTTGGTATGGTCTGCTTCCATCACACATGGCCTGTTTGAACTGGACCTAGTTCTAGGTCTTTTCTGTAATCTGTTTTAAGTTGTCATTTCCTCTCATACCTTTTCCCCCTCATACAATATCTCTTTATAGGACTGAAGTGTTTTCAGTATGGTAGAGTTTGTAAAGGTCATGACAAAATCTGCAGTTCTAACTTACGAGCTCTGTTCATAAGTTAGAAGTTCTAAGTCATAATGCAGACTGGGGATACTTCTGCTTTTGGAAGAGCTACTGCATGTGTTTAGTCAATCTTTGAGGTGACTGCCTTTATTTTTTTTGTTTTGTTTTTAAATCGATCTCCATTAATTTTAACTTCATGTGTGTCTTCAGCTACAGTAAGGGTTTTCTCTGCATAAACAGAGTTGCAGTATCAAAATGCAAACACTATGAAACTGTTAAAGGATATAGAATTTATCATCTCCCAGATAAGAGTCCTTAGTAAAAGCCTAACCATCCATGAGTTGTTTCCAAGCAATTCATCAGTTTGCCTTATAGGCAGGGCACTTGACACTGCTACTGAGTGTGCATAGTAGACTCTAGATAAAAATACTGTTGATTCGGTATATTCCCCTAACCTTAAGTTTCAGGAAACATTTATACTTTAAGAGATTTGACATTATTTGGTCTAGGTGGCAAGTACAGCATTCCAGTGTCTAATTCCTTTCCTCTGATTTCCCCAAGACACAAGATGTGACAAAAAGCTTACTGATTTAATAGATTACTTGTCAAAATTCCACAGGGAAAGTAATTTTTTTGTTTTAATTAGCCACCATGAAGACAAAGTGACCACTGACATATTTTGTGGTCAGCTTGCATTTCAGAGCTTCAGAGATTTTTGTCAAGCTCTGGTAACAGTAGGGATGCTATTTAAATCTTATCTCTATAGCCAGAAGTATTTCACTACTGAAAAAAATCCAGGTATTTGAACATGACATATCTGGGACTCCTTAATGGAAGCTAACAGGGTGCCAGCATACAACTCGCTGTTGTGATGTGAAAGTTGACAGAATCTTGATCTCTTAAAATTAGCAGCATCAGAAACAAGCTTCCCTAACCCAATTTACTTTTAGAGAGATGAGAGGAAAAAGCAGCATATTTCTGACTTTATTGAAATCTGTGGCATGATCTGTAATGGAAGGAATTTGGCTCTGAATACAATATCAGGGTCTGCAAAGCTTTAGCTACTGTACTCACAGCATAGTATTCTCTTTGTGGTTTGGCTGTGGTTTATGAAACACTGTTGACATAAAAACAAAGCAGGGAGGAAACGATTGCAACAGGAGCGAGATGAGTCTGTTGTGGGGCAGACCTAGGAGCCAAGAGTTCCTGGGGCAAAAGCCTACAAGTCACTAGAATTGAGACAGTAGAGTGCTTAATCTAATAAAGCCATTGTAGGGTCTGCTGAGCTTCTACAGAAGAGCTTACAGGTTGCAGTTTTCTTGTTTTGCTGGAGAGATGTGCAAGATTACAGTCCCCTTTCCATTTCAAAATGGAAGCATTTTGTAAGTGGTGTTGGGTATAGCACAGTGTAGAAAGGGTCAGAATGAATTGGTGCCCGTAATCAATAAGTTTGTATTGGAATGCATACGTTTGGTTATTCTGATGCAGTGAACTCCAGAGGGGAACTTTGCAAGCTGTCCGTACATGAGCTGTGAAAATATAGTAGCCTTCCATTTCATTTTAGTCCAACAGCTCAGAGTTGTAAATAAACAGTCAGAACTTGGTTCTCCAGCTACTTTCCCTTCAGCCTTACTAAGTAACTTATGGAACATGACTGAAGTCAATTTATTCTGTCCAGGGCCAACAAGTGGAGGATCTCACGATTGCCTTATTCCTTGGACAAGATTCTGCAAGGTATGAACACAATTTAAACATTGAGATGGAAGAGGGAGCTTTGTCTTGGTTTGTTTGGCTTTTTTTCCCAGGGTACTTTCTCAGTAGTGTACCCTAATTATTCTGGAGCTTACATGGCTGTGGGAGGTTTTGGTGGTGAGGTTAAGGTAGCAGCAGAAAGAGAAAAAAGGGCTCATAATAGCAAGGAGTAGGTGATTTTGAGATTGCTTTTGAGCCACGTAAACCACCCTAAAAGATGCATTTTCCTAACACAACGTTTTAATTATTAATACAGTTGCTTTTAGTAGTTCTCCATTTTAGCTGTTACAGAAAATGTAAAACCAACCAAACCAAAACCAAACAGCAAGATGGTCATAGGGAAGGATGCTTGTGAGACTAGGGACACCTGGATTAGGGTGAGAATTAGCACAGGATGGCCAGGGGGGGTCAGCACAGTGACAGAAAAATGAATCATTATATTCCGTAACCCCGGCTGCATCAAGACAGGATGACATTTCACATTTTCTTTGGCTTTTTTTTTAGTTGTCCTAAACTGGTATAAATAAGCAGGTGATGGTAGCAGGCAGGAGCAGACTCTGGGGAAAGAGCAAAGCTCTTGTGCCCTACAAGCACTCAAATTCATTAATACAGGTGTCTCATGGGGAATTGAAATCGAGTCTGAACAGAAAGTGTCTCTAAGCTGTTCTGCTAGCCAGCCTGGTTGAATGTCCAGTAGGATGGTTTGGATGTCCAAGAGCTGTGATAAGGCCCAGGCAGGAGCCAGCGCCTTTGCTTTTAAACCAGAGTTTTTGCAAGAGAAGCTATGGATGATGTTTGTGGGTACTGTAGGCTTAAACAGGCATTTCTGTCACACTGCCTCTTGCCTTAAGATTCAGTACATGCTTCATGCCCAATAGTTTCTGTCCTGGAGTAGAGAAACAGAAAGGGGGGGGGGGGGGGAATTGTAAGAGAATATGGGGAGGGTGGGACAGAAGAAAGAGGGAAGAAAAACGCTACAACAAGTAGATGCTGGCAGGATTGAGAGCTTGCACCCTCTCTGCTTACCAAAACTCATGTTTTGTTACCTTTGTTCTCCCACCCCTGTCTTGCCATATTCTGAATTCCAGGAAAATATAAATGATAAAAATTTCTCCTTTTGGCTGTGGATTGAGGGAATCCTGGAGCTTATTAAGAAACACCTCCTGTGTCTCTGGAATGATGGGTAAGACCTGACTGAAGTTAAAGATCTGGTCATTGCCTTCTATCTCCATTTAGGCTAGAAATTCTGTCCTCAGGTCCTGAGGATGTTTATGCAGATCCAATAAAGGGGGGCTTGGAACTAGAAAAGTCTGAGGCAAATGAATTCTAGTAGTGAGGAAGTTCTAATGAGGAAACCGCTTAAAGCAAAACCAGCAGATGACCAAGCTGTCCCAGCTAAGTCACAGAGCAGGGCTTTGAATGTTTGCTATTTTTTTGCCTCTGCTCCCACTGTAAGTAGGTTCTTTTCACACCCTAGAACCCTCTTCTCTGATGGGGAAGACTGAAGTACAAAGTCGTGAAGGGATCGTCCGCGTTTGAACCGAAACACAAAAACCCTACCCACAGGCCTATTGTGAGCCTCCTGTAGGTGGCAGCAGCCACACTGAACATCTGTATCTTCAGTGAGTCCAGAAAGTAGTCTTTATTGATTTAATAGAGTATTATTAATTAGTAAGACCCTGCCGGAAGGAAAACCAGCTCGATTTGCCCTTTACTACAGGTTTAGTAAACTTTCAGTTCTGGTATTGCCGATTTCAGAAGTAACTGCTGCCAAAACCAGGACAAGCCAAGGTCACAATCCTGCATTTTAGATTTAGCCACATTATGAAACCCTGTCAATAGCACACTCACATTGGAGCATCCTTGCATCCCACAGTTTTCAGGATCTACAACAGCAGGGTTCTATCGTGCTACATTCAGCTGCTGCAAATGATTACCCCCTAGTTTTGTCAAAGCCTCTTTGCACTGCCTAAAACCTAGATATTTCTTAGCTAAGTGGACTCCAGTGCAGCAGGGGCTTTTGTCAGCATTACTGAAAGAGAGTTGCAGTTCTCTCTTATTCAGTGTTCTGCCTCAGCATGGCTGCATGCCTGCAGGATTGTTTTTGCATGTGGCTCTCATAGCATACAGTCTTGAGTAGAGCTCATTTCTCTCAGGTGTGAGGACAATCCCCTGCTTAGGGTTTAACAGAAAGAGGTGGTGCAAGTCAAATCCTGAATGTAATCAAAACCAGAGATTTAGTGCAATTTGGTTTTCCTCCCTCAGCTGGCTTTGTTGGATAGAGATCTTTATTGCCTAGAAAGGCAAAAAGGGAAACTGAAGGGAAAACTTGTCAACTGCAAAGATACTTTAGTGGGAGAGACAAATCTATAGTATTAATTATAATAGAGACTCCCTTTCTTTACAAAATAGTAAGTACTACAGCCTTAAGGACTTGAAAGATGGGAAGGCAAGAGACTTTCATTATGTATAGGATATTTCCTACTGAACACATTTATTACCTAAAGCATACCATTAAAAAACAAAACAAACAAGACCCCATAGAACAGGCCCTCTGAATTTCTAAGCAAAACCATGATTTAGTAGGTTTTGTGCAGAAAGCACTTTCCTTAATTTAATGCACAGAAGGCCAGCATCGGCACTCAAAACTTAATTATTGATAGAGTATTTTGAGGAATAAGCAGCATTATAAATAAATTCTGACTGTTTATAGAAGCAGTTGGGGTATGAACAGGGTTATGCCCTAGTGCTGCTGGCTTGTACAACTTCCTCCCCAGTACCTCTTCAGACCAACAATCCATTTCTTACAGTAACTGCTGGCTGGGATCTGACCATATTACATACATATAGCTTTACTTCTGCTTCTACCTCATAGCTTTTATTCTGAGCTCAGAAAAACATCTGTATAAGCCACCAGACTGAAGGAGGAGTGCTAGGGGAAGCTGTGGCAACTCATGGCTTCCACACAGTAGCCTGCTACTAGATTTCCAGCTACTAGATAGCCTGCTGCTAGATTTCCAGCTATTCCCAAGACAATGCCTTCTGTGAGGCTTTCACAAGTACTTCAGCACTTTTGATTGACAAAAGCTTTTTGGTTCTCCTAGCTAGCCCAGCATAGGTTTTACATTGAGGAGTAAACTCAGCTTTGTTTTCAACATTACAGTTGCATCATGGGTTTCATCAGCAAAGAGAAAGAACGTACTTTATTGAAGGACCAGAGTCCAGGAACATTTTTGCTAAGGTTCAGTGAAAGCAGCAGAGAGGGAGCAATCACATTTACCTGGGTAGAAGGATCTCAGATTGGTAAGTCAGTAACAGAGAACTTCTTTGTCTTCAAGATACAAGCTTACATCAGAAGAAGTCATGTTTATGCTCTTCTCTTTCACACTGAGAACCAATGCAATACACCACCCTAGCAGTCCCAACCCTTACAAGCAACAAGCTGCAAGCAACAGCAGACACATACCTTAGTGTTAGCTCGTAAGCCACGCTGTCAATTGGTGTTCAAGGTTACAGCTAGGACTAGTACCACTTCTCAGGTACTGCTTCTGGCCTGGAAGTCTGTTGAGGACTTTACTAAACCCTACATCCACAGTTTTTTTCTTAGCAAGACACCTTTAGTACATGTGCACCTGCATCTCCCTCCAAACACATAGCACCTTATCCCTCAGATTCATTTTGTCATTCCAAACACAAAATACACCAATAGCAAGGGTATGCTATCCCTGCATGTGCCTTCCTATCCCACAGAAGAGTTTTGCTTCCTTTGATGGTCATTAAATACTGATCTGCAGCATAGACCTATGAATTTGTGGAAGTGGCTGCAGCTTTACTGGGCAGTTACAGAAAACAACTTTGAAACCACCTTTAAGAGTTGCTGCTTCTCTCACCTGCAGAGCCCCAGTTCCATTCAGTGGAACCATACACCAAGAAGGAGCTTTCTGCTGTTACTTTCCCTGACATCATTCGCAACTACAAAGTGATGGCAGCTGAAAACATTCCTGAAAATCCACTGAGATTTCTGTACCCAGATATACCCAAAGACAATGCCTTTGGCAAATATTACTCCAGGCCTAAGGAGGGTAAGTGCTATAAATGACTCACACAGTGTGTGATGTTTGTTCTGGAGGTACTTGTGCACTGTGTAATAGAAAGAAAGGGTGGCAGTCGGAGTGAATGTCTTGGCAGCTTATCCCATGCTTGAGTGCAGCTCAGCTGAAAGGTGAGAACAGGCACCTAAGCTTTAGTAGGTTAAGAAAAGGTCTGGTTTTAAAGAGGCACAAGATTGAGATCCAGTCAGATCAGAACCTGAAAATGTTGCTTCACTGGCCCTCTGATTCAGCTTTCAAATGAGCCTGTGAGACACTTCAGAGATGCAGGTTCTAGCTAACAGCTGGACCCGTGACTCATATTTGACTGTTACACAGGACTGATCCTGGCTGTGTGGGCCTGGCAGGATGTGTTGATGCAGCTACATCAAACCTAAGGAGAGGTTTTGTTCCTCATTTTCTATAGGGGAAAAACAGAAACGAAAAGCGGACTAAAGAATGGAATGAAATCATCTTAGTGCTGTAAAATGCATAAGAGAGAGACTTGCACATTATCTGGGTCACAGGCTTTATTTTTGGTACAATAAAAAGATAGCAAAGTGAAGTAAACTTGCTAAAAAAAAAACACCACCACCAAGGAAAAACCCACCCAAAACCAAGCTTTTTTCCTTTTTCCCCTCCTTGAAGCACCAGAGCCTATGGATTTGGATGGTCCCAAGGGAAACGGCTACATCAAGACTGAGTTAATCTCTGTATCTGAAGTGTAAGTTTCTACAGAAATGCTGGGTTTCTAGGAGCTGATCATAAATTTTTTGCTATAGTTTATGTCTCTTCACAGTATTTAAAGTGAGGGGGCCCTGTCAGGGGCCCCTCTTTCCCTTTGAGGATCTGATCACACCACATTCATGCAGTGCTGTGTTTGAAAGACCGTTTTTAGGTAAAACCCCAAGAAACTTACAGGTAGTTGCACTGGCAAATAATTTCATGAAAAGCAAGTTCTTAAAGACTTGTTGGATTTGCTTGATTACAATGTAGATCACTGAGTAGTCCCAGGTTTCATTTAAATCCGTGCTGGCTTTGCAAAGCATGGCGTATTGCTCATAGGCTAGGACTTCTTCACAGGAGACCTCAGTAGTAGCCCTTCTGGACTCAGAGCTAGACATGATAGCTCAAGTGTGCCTCACTTTAGTGAAGGTTTGTCCTTACCCTTCTCCTTCTGTTAGCCACCCTTCCAGGCTCCAGTCTCCAGAAAATCTGCTCCCCATGTCTCCTGAAGAGTTTGATGAGGTGTCCCGGATTGTGGGCCCAGCAGAGATTGACACTGTGGTATGTATCATAACCCAGCCTTTTGCAGGAGGGCTCAGCCAGAATTTGCTTTCTCCTTTTTTTTTTCCTTTCAAATGCATAGGAAAAGGTGGGAATCCAGAGTTAGACTGGGATTGCTATCAGTTGTTGTTTCCACTTGTTTGTGAGGATGGGGATAGGGATGAAGAACAAGAGAACAAAACTACCAGTGTGTATCTTGCAGGAAGGGCTGAAGGAATGGATGAAGGAGTAACACTGTGGTCCTTCTTGTGGGGTCTGGGTGAGGAGGAAAGCTGGAGGAAGGTGTGCAGCTTGCATTGTTGCCTTGCCAAGGCTGGCAAGGTACTGCCGTTAACAGAGCAGAGCCATCCCTTTGGGGTGTGCTTCAGAAAAAACCCAAATCCCAGCTTCCTCCCTCCATGGTAGTTTGACCCTAAGATGCAAACCTGGTGCTACTTGGTGAAGACCTGGTTGTGCTCTGTGGTTAGCAAAAACTAGAGCATTAGGGCTTTATTTGGCTAGTTTAGTTGACATTTACTTTTCTTGTTGCAGATGTGTTCAGCGTATTCAAGTTAAAGGTTGAGCTTCTTACTGCATCATTAACATCATTGATTAGCTTATGCATCCTGCTTTGCAGCCAATGACTTGGTGACATGCTTCACTTCAGTTTTTTGGTTTCTCCACCTGAAGGTCCAGTGGCAAGTTTTAACTAATGGGAATATAAACAGCAGTCTGAGTAGCCTCCTTCCATGCACTTCTTTTGTTTAGAAGTTCTTTGTTAAAGTATTTCCAGTTAGTGAGATACCGTACCAGAGTGAAGATAGGAATGAGAGGTCCTCAGCAAGAGTGATGAGTAACATGCATTTTTTGTGTAATGGAATTAGTTAAATATAGTGTGTAAAACAGCTGGCTGTACATAGAAGGCTTCAAAGGAAAGCTAGTTCTTTTGCAGAGGTTCTGTTCAGAGAGCTTGCACCTTTTGCGTAACTGCGTCTGAAGAACTTTCATAGCTTTGAATTTTCATCTGTGTCGCAGAAAGGAGAAGAGAAACACTCTGCAGGTGTGTGCCACACTGAATCCATCCTGCTGGAGTTTGTCCTGGTTTTGCTTTTTCTGAGGGCATGGCATACTGAAAAAACGTAAGCCAGATCATTATAGAATCCCAGATTGGTTTGGGTTGGAAGGGACCTTAAAGCTCAGTTCCAACCCCCCTGCCATAGGCAGGGACACCTTCCACCAGACCAGGCTGCACAAAGCCTTGTCCAGCCTGGCCTTGAACACTGCCAGGAATGGGGCAGCCACAGCTTCTCTGGACAACTGGCTCTGGTGTCTCACCACTGTAACAATAAAGAATTACTTCCCAATATCGAACCTAAATCTTCCCTCTTCCAGGTTATAGCCATTCCCCCTTGTCCTGTCACTACATGCCCTTGTAAAAAGTCCCTCTCCAGCATAGCCTTGTAGGCCCCCTTTAGGTACTGGAAGTCTGTGAAAAGGTCTCCCCTTAGGAGCCTTCTTTTCTCCAGGCTGAACCAGCCCATCTCTCTCAGCCTGGCTCCAGAGCAGAGCTGCTCCAGCCCTTGCAGCACCTCCGTGGCCTCCTCTGGACTTGGTCCAACAGCTCCACATCCCTCTTGTATTGGGGATCCCAGAGCTGAACATAGGACTGGGGGGGGGGGGGGGGGGGAGGTGTCTCATGAGAGATTTCATTTTCAGTTCTGCTGTCTTGCACTTGCAGTACCAGACAAAATGAGAAACTACTCTTACAGTGCAAAAGGGGTTGATGTATGTTTTTACTCACTGTGCTTCATCTGCCAAGGTGAGGATCTGGTGAATTTGTATCTTTTACAATAATACGTGCTCCATTAGGTTGTAACAAGTGGAATAGAACTTAATTTTCAGATGCACTATGAACCAGGGCATTTATTTAACTGTTGATTTGAATAGCTGCAAGACCCTACCAACTTTGATACTGAAGTGGTTTTGCAGTTAGGGATAAGGCCCAGGAAAGTGAAGGAAGTTCAATTCAAATGGAGTAATGGTTGCAGGATATGCAGTCCTTAGCACTTAAAGAATGAAGTTGTGCTTCCACCAGAGGAGGAGCAGGTTTGTTTCTCTGCATGCTTGAAGATAATTAACAACTCACAGTTAAGAGGCAAGGTTGTCTTGAGTAGCTGATGTCTTGGACTAAGGGCATCTATTAGTCCAGACTGCTAACTAGCACAGAGCTGAGCAGAGGGACTCCAGAACCCTGGTACTGGATCCCATCTGTTCAGGTACAGGTCCTGCTTGAGCTTGGGGATGGAAAAGATATTACGTCCAGCAGTCCCTCCAACCTCAGCCGCTCTGTGCCACAGTTGCTACTGCTGTGGCAGACCCTGCTGCTGTCTATTCCCCATGCCGGGGAGGGCAGCAGTGGCCAGTGAGGCTCAGGGGTGGCAGAGCTGCTTCTCCACTACTCAGAAATGGTAGATTGGTCACCTGCTGCTTATATGTTAAACAACTGGTTCAGTTTAGTGTTGTGCGCAGGAAGACTGATGTGCCCCCTGCAACACTCCAGAGAAAGAAAAGTGAAAGGACCTAGAGCAGTAACGTACGTATTTAAATGGAAAGCATTGCTAAACTGACTTGGTTTTGGTGCCTTGTGGTACAGGGGTTACAGTGCTGCAGCATATTCACATGCTAACTGAATGCCTTTATCTTTCTGTAACTAGCTGAATGTGTATCTTTATTGTAATACAAAAATCAAACACTTGTTTCTTGAGCTACACTTGTATTCACGTTCTAGATGCAGCAGTTTGTTTTCATTATACTTCAATTTTATCAATCAGGGTGAAATTTTCTGGTGAGGTTTAAAGCCACAGCCTTATTCATGGCTTTGTCTTTACTTAGCCAATAGTTCTAAAACCCATGGTTTTTTTTTCCCCTGCTGGAATAGCCTTTTGCCATTTTAAATAAATGGAACTGTCACAGTTGACACTTTTGTCCTTTCTCTTGTGTTTTGGCTACTTCTGTTGCAACAATGATGTGGCTGCCAGTAGGTTACTGTATTCATACTGTTTAAAATGTACTCATTTTAAACTTGTTTGTACAATGCAACAGTTAGAGCTCTGAAGTCCAAAGGCAGTATGGATGCTCTTAATTCACTGCACTGTTCTGCCCATCTGCATTACAAGGATCTTGAAAGGTGGCTGTTGGAATAATTTATTATTCTTATTTTTCCTCCCCAACCAAACTTTAATAAACTAAACTCGAATTTCTAACTGGAGTTCATCAGTAGGATAACTGACCTACAGCTAAACCTGGTGAGCTGCCAAGCTGGCCATCTCCTGCACCACTTTTCTCTGGGGCTGTCGAGTGCCTCACACTTGTGACGCTCTTATATTAACGACACAGACAGAAGTATAATAAAGGAAAGAATCAGTTGGTGCAGTGAAGGATAGCAGGGGCGAAGAGTAGGAATGAGAAAGGTAGAGCTGTTGAGGGCGCTGGGCCAATCCATGTAAGAATCACTTTAACAAAACGCAACCAGTGAAAGGACATAGGGAAACAAAGCAAAACCAGATCAGATAAACTCATTCTGACTTCCTGTAAGCTTTGTGCAACAGAAATGGCCAAGGGAGTTTTTACTGGACAGCCTTCCCCATGACAGAAGGCTTTATTTCAACATCAACCGCACAGACAAACCAGTAAAACCCACCACAACCATCATCTTGGTATTTCCATTTATTATGCTGTAAAAAGCAACACTATCTGGATTTTATTTCTTAAAATAAATAACTTTCATTTTCAGAACCAGCACAGCTCAAGTTTAGATTCATTCATGGGAAACTGCTAGAAATACATTCATCACTGTCTATTCCCCACAATACTGAATCTAAGAGTCAAGATCAGCCCAGTCAATTACAATGACCAGAAGTACACTGCCAATAAGTATAGTCACTGATAGTCCAGCTCTGAAGCAAAAAAATCTGGTACAATACATTTTGTTCACAAAGAGAGGCCTAATTAATGCTAAGACTATCACAATATTTCTGAGTACAAAGCATTAAGTTAGCTTGACGATTTTAGGTTGTGATACAGAAGAAACATACGTGACATAAAAACAAAGGAGTAGGGGAATCCTCTTTGGAGCATAAGGAAGTCAGCGACTGATAAGATAACCAAAAGCTATTTACGATAAAATCTACATGTCAGTGTCATGAATGCTAAACAGCCAAACCAATGTACTGCATCTACTGATATTTATAAATATAACGTCATGTCTAGATAGCTGCATTGCTGAATTGGACGTTACAAAATAATCCATCTTCTCACAATGAGAAAATACTAAAACTAACCAGCATAAATGCACTGAAGCAAGGACTGGCTAAAAGCACTCAGTATGATTCAGGAAAGCATTAAGCTTAGGGACAGCCATGATCCTTAAATGTTAACTCAGTATAAATCCTTCTTTTGGGTTGGTTTGGTTCTTAATACACGTGTATTCTATAATATACCTCTATTTTAAAAATGCCAGTTCAAGCAATGCAAATTTCAGTTAAATAAAGCTGAATCAGGTATTTTTCTGAGAAGCTAAAGGATATGTCTTAATAGGAAATAAAACATGGAAGAAGTCAGATTAGCACTGAGATACAGAATACTTCACTGGAATCCATCTGAAAATATTCCTCTGCACTGAATTTGACAGAGAAAACATGCTGGGATTTAGTTCAGGGTGCAGTAGGGCAGAGGCCTTGTGCTACTGTGTGACTGATGTGGCTCAAAGAGCCAGAGGCCGTTTTGTGTAGTTCTTGGTTAGAAGTGGGTGGCTGTGATACAGGATGTGAAAAGAATGGGTTAAAAGCCTTCAGAAAAATAGCTGATCTCCAAAAAAGAGAAGGAGAAAAAAAACAAACAAAAAACCCCAGTTTAAGAACAGTAAGATTGATGAGAAGTGTTTGATAACCATACCAGTCAGCTTCAAAATGCTATGTTGGGCCTTAGGCTTTCAGACTCTTCCAAGATTCCACCATCATGAGGACAGTCGCTGCTCGTGATGAGTATCAAGCACTTTTCCCTGCCAGGAGGCAGTATGGCATATACCAGCCAGAGCCTGTACAGGAACGTGAGAGAATTTACTCTCAGCCACGCTGACCTGCTGGGTCACTCTGGAGAAGTTACTTCTCTCTATGCCTCAGTGTACTCGTTTGCAAAAGGACGATAATGTGGTTCAGATCATCTTTATAAAGTGCTCGGGCCATTCCAGAAAGGATTTGGGCATTATTTCAGGAGGATTTTGGTGCCTCAACACAGAAAATTTTGACTTTGAGATCTACTGCTGGCTTGTACACTATGTGCTAGAATAAAAACAGCCACACACACAACTCTCAAACACAATCTCCTTTTCCATGTGCTAAATGACTCTTGCCTATAATTCTTGTGCTAAAACTCTTGCCTATGTGCACACCTGTGGTGTTTTGTGAATATCCAACCCCTCCGTGACTGATCACTTCAGAGGTTCTGTGCCACGGTATCAGCAGAAGCAATTGCACGTGGGATAGGGAACAAGTAACGTACTTCCGCAAATAGCAAGTATCTGCAATGACATTTCCCCATGATGGGGCACATGCTGAGCTGGCTCCAGTGACAAGGCAGGAGTGCCACCGTTCACCACAAAAGGCATCACCTGCTTGTGCTCCTGATGCTGAACAACATGTTCTGCACCAGTGGAACCCCACTGGTGCAATATCCTGCTCCCTGGTTGATGGCAGTCCAAGAAGAGAACATACCCAAAAATTTGGCTTATCTCCTGCTCTGCTCGTTCTTTGACTGGCTCTATGCTCCTTAAAGCTGGTTGACTCTGTCCGTGTTCCTTATCGCAAGCCTAAAGTAAGTCAGATCTACATGCAATATTTGGTTTAGTACTTTGCCTTTCACATGCTTCCATACCCCTCTCTGGTTCCTGGTGCAAGCACCAAGAACAGCACGCATGAGCCCACTGGGGGGTTCTGCAGCTTGCCAAGGCTTGCTGTAGTGCAAATGTACCTGGCTAGGAACACAACTGCATAGAGTGGAAGCACCCGCTTTCCCCAGTGACAGGGAAGTACTTTAGCAGCTGAACATGGAGAGCGAGGAGGGAGGTGAGACAAAGGGAACTGAAAGAAACTCTTCCAAGACAAAAACCTCACTAAACACTCTTTGATGTCCCATTCCCCTACGCTATTTGGTCAAAAAACCTTAAAACAAATTCCGTGACAAGACTACCTAAGAACAAGTCTAGACCATTGACAACTGTCATCTATATACTCTGTTGATATTTATATTATGTAAACAAGGTGGACTTTTTTACTTAGGTTTATTTTCCCAGCAGTAAGTGCAGATCCTTACTTAACACACCCAGCTTAAATCTACATCTGCATCCTCAGCTTGTGAAAAACCTCACTGATGCTCAGACCTGACAGCACTCTGGCTCACCTTGGCCATACTGGAAACAGAGGCTATAGGAAACAAAAACTCAGCAGAAAAAATCCTGACCACAGACTAGAGTTCACATAGAACACAAAAATAAATTAAGTAGTGCACAGTAAAGCCAACAACAGCTAAATATTTTTATACATCAATTATATGCAGCATGAGGTAATATTGCTCACATTATGGAGGGAGATTCTTAGTTGGTTTTGTTTCTTTAGAGAGAGATTGGATTTGTCCTGTGCGTATAGAAACTCCTGTAACATAACACTGAAGTAACAGAGACTTCCGTAAAATATATACCACTATCAGATAGAAACACACACGCTCTTCATTACTTATGTATACCACAATTAAATAGGTGATTTGATTCTTAGGATCTAGCTGAAGATGATTATAGTAAGCCATCTAGATTTTTATGAACCGTTCGGTTCTCCTTCCCATTCTTGGAATCCTCTGATGGCGTGTATTGGACCTGATATTCTTGAAGAATTTTAAACACATCGTGGTGTCCGAAATGTAAAGCTTCATCCATAGGAGTGTTATTCCACCTACAAGAAGGAGCACAGTATTTCCAAGATCAGCACCTAAGCACAGAGCCAAAAGCACCAACAATCTACTTCTTTACATACTGTGCTAGTAATTCTGAATACATTCCAATCTGACTTGACAGACACGTTCTCCTCAGGGGTGCTAAAGCATCTCGGAGAGATGCTATTAGTGTCTTTCCTCAAAATTTCAGTAAAACCACTCACCTGTCTTTGGGGAAAGGATTCACTTTGCATGCTTCCAACAAGAATTTAACAACATCCACATGTCCTATAAGAAAAACAAGCTTGTGAGTGTATATATTTTATCTATGTGTATCTATGTATATACAAAGTTTTTAAAAGCAGGTATGCACATAGAGTGAAGACACTCTAATGCAAGATGACTACACTCCATCAACAGATAGCAAACAACATCGGAGGAAACACTACCTTCTGCCGCTGCTACATGCAGGGCTGTTCGTGAGTCATAGTCTCTTTGTTCCATATCCATTCCTGACAGAGCAAATCTAGAAAAACAAACATATATTACGAAAAAAAAAAGTCTTACATAACTAAAACAAGCTACAGAACTAGCACGGAACAATACACCTAAGCTACAACAATGAAACTTCCACTGCAAGAGGATATGAACGGTATCAAGAGCCCATCCTACCTTCAGTTATAAGGAAAGGGGCCTTTACTGCTTTGGCTTTAACTTTCAGTTCTCTAGTTGTTAGAAAGAAACATAAAGTGTCTTTACAGGAAACTTAATATATCTGATTTAAAATCTTACATGGACAAGCTAAGTCATAGAAGGCAAATTACATTTATGCCACCTGAGGAAATCCAGGGAAGACTCCCAGGCCTGAAAAGCCCAAATCCAGAGTTAAGCTATTGGCAGGGTTCTTTCATCACACTACAGTGCTCTGGGACAGCAGAGTTAAACTATATGTGTTTTTCCATTCACTAGCTATATTTAGGTATATTGTAGCCAAATTAATACATTCATTTAGTCTCTTACCATCATTACTTTAAACGTTGCCAGATTCTATTCCAGATTTAAAAAGCAAAGCTAGTTTTTCTAACCTCTACAACAACAATGCCTGAATCTTTGTGTCAGTTTCAGAACTGAATTATAAAGCAGGTGAGAGCACAGATAGGGTTTTCTGCCATGACTATAAAAAAAAAAATGGTTAAGGAAACTTATTTCACTGTGATCCAGAAACATAAAGCAATGAGGTTGCAGCATAGCATGAGGATACCTCTGTGATGGTTTGAGTTGGGTTTGTTTGGTTGGCATTTGGGTGAACACAGTCAGCCTCCAGCACAGCTGAGATGTTCCCAACACAGACACAGTGCATATGCATATCCATAAACAGTAACAGCAGGTACCAAACAAGCAGCATTCTTATTCCCAACCCCACACCGATTTTTACCTCCGGAGCGCAGACACATCCCCCGTGTAGGCAGCAAACAGAAGATTTATCACAGACTTCACCTACAAAGAGAGATGAGATCCTGTTTATTTAGCTTCTTTCCTCAGAAAGAAAACTGATGGAAAACCCAGAAAACTCCAGCATGGCCAGAGTTGATCCAGTGCTTATGAACTCGTTAATTTTGGCCACATTTTGCAGTATAGTGTAAAACACCAGAAGAATTTGTTCCAGCTTGCTTTGTTACCAGTGCTTTCAGGTCTGTCTTTCCAAGGTTGAAGTCATAAGGACAGTAACAGAACCATAAAATGTGCATTTTTACCCTGCTGTGGTAAAAAGTATGAGCCTTGCTGTATGAACAAACCAGATTTCACTCTGATTACCCAATGATACTGAATATTGAATTACAAAGACAGTGTCACTTTGCATAATGCAAAAAAGCATAAATAACTCATGAGACAAACTCATTCCAGAAAATAAACTGGGTTTGGGCTTTTTGGAGGGTTTTTTGTTTTGTTTTTTCTTTTTGTGTGTGGGTTTGTTTTTCCAGAGAAGACTCCTAATGCTAGAAGAAATCTGTGTTAGCAGACGAGAAGAATGGCACGGGGTTTGCTTTATGTTACGTATTTTCTTTACATACATTTAATGCAGAGGCTTACTTCAAGTAAACCATTTAAAGCAATTCTATCACATAATGAGCTGCTGCAAGAACAGCAAGGTTTCGAGGCAGATAAAAGTAGACTCCTCCTAGATCAAGTAACGCGGGTAAAGCCTCAGGCAAAGCAGTGTTTTTTTCAGCTGTATTAATTACTCTAGTAAGAAACGCTACCTCAACTTTGTCTTGTGCACATTTTTAACATGGCTGTAACAACTCCGCAAGTTTTAAGAACCCAGACTGACAAAAAGAGATGGTTTTAAGCATCCCACATTAGCGTCTTTCATAAACAGATACAGCCACTTCTAGGCACCATTTCACAGTCATTTCCAGTCAGCTTTCCAAATGCTGCACTACTTGTCGAGCCTGTAAAGTTCTGTCGCTGGTACGAGCCAAGTAACAGAGATAAAGGAGAAAACTGATGCTGCATTGACCTTCTACAACAAGGAGGAGAAACAAACCAAGAATCATGGCCCACAAACAAGCCTCCCACAGATTTCTGCAGAAACACTGGCATATTTTCACAGGGCCACAGATGAGCCAACATCTGCGCCTCCTGTAAACCCAAGCCAAAGAACTGCTTAGTGTTCTTTACACCTTAAATGTTCACTGATGCAAAGAGGGACTGAAGCAAAAGGAGATGGAGGCACAAAGGCCGGGATGGATACACACGGGGGACACAGAACACTCTCCTTACTCCGGTATCCACAACCTCCTGCAGCTCCTTTCCAGCTTGCACTCTGGGGCTCCTCAGGCTTACCAGCCATGCGCAGCGAGTGTGAGACCTGCTGGGCAAGATCCGCAGGTCTCCATCCCTCCTCATGAGGCTCAGTGTCCCCCAGGAAGCTCCCAAACCTGACTGGCTTCAAAGGCTGTGCCCTGGGCTCTACCTCAGCAATGACCTGAAAGCAGCCGCATCACCTTTAACTGCAGCAACCCTGACATCATGTCCCAGACCAAGCACTGCAGAGGACAGGCTTGGAGCAATTCTGCTCCTCTTATGAAGATGTTTTTAGTTTAAAGCTTCTGAAAAAGACAAACCCAAACCCAGTGACAACAATACAGCATGTCAGCATGGGCTTTGCTCCGGATGCAGAATCAGCCATCCCTGCCTGAGCTCACTCACCCCTATGGCCCTTCTTCTCCACACAACACAGGCAGCTCCTCCCAGGCTGCCCCTGCCTTCTCTCAACCCCTGGCTCAGCACAGGAATTACAGGAACAAACCATTACAAGCACTCTTCAGGGCTGCTGTGTCTCATCCTTGCTGTGGCAAACTTCTGTGGCTTGGATGTGGAGACTTCCATCACAAAGGCTGGTTAAGGGCAGCAAATACCCAACAGTGCTCTCCTTAGGCTTCAGTAGAAAATACCACACTTGCACCAAATTATTAAAGCCTCCTAAAAGAATGTACATCTTTTACAGCCATTGGGCTGCAAACTGTATTCACACACAGGCATGAAAGGGGAATTTAGTCCGATCATCTCTAGGTTTCACCAATATGATTCAGGAGTTCTCCTTGCTGAGAAAGAAGTTGAGCATCGCTCTACTGCTGGTGCCATGCAGACAGGACAAAGCTGGTTGCGCTCAGACACTGCAGGTTCTTCAGGTGCTAAACACTCTCCCTTTTCAGGATCGAGGATGATCAAAGGACGTTCTGTCTTTAATAAAAAGCCATTTCAGAGGTAAATGATAATTTTGGCTGGGCTTCCTTATGTTTCTGGGAAATGCAAATCTGCATTAAAATAACATAAAAATAACACACATTCCTTCCTCACAAAAAATAACCTTCAAGTGCAGATGGGGCCAAGAATCCCTCTGGATTCAGCTGAGCATTTTGCTAACAAGACATTTTCATTTCCCAGAACGATGTGACAAAGTGCAGTCTGGAGATTCCTGAGGCTTTCTACACAATAGGGCCAGATCTTCCAGCAATCTGGGAAACATTAAAGCATAAATGTAAAATCCAAGGTCACATTTGATGAAACTGAACTTCTTGACAGACCAAAAGGAAACGCAAGTCCAGACAAAAAGAAAAAACATAAATCTCTGCTTCTTTAGTTCAGAAAAGAAAATTTGAGAAGAAATATGACTGCCCTCTGTATAACAATAAAGGTAATGGGATACAAAAGGCAGGACACAAACAAATTTAGGAGGACAATTGTTAGCAGAATAATTATCCAAAACTGGCCAGGAATGAACTCAAGCTGGAAAGAAAAGCAGACAGAGTTCAGACATCATAGCTGAAACAGCCCCCATAGGGCTACCTGCCTGTGTTTCAAGTGAGACTTCAAATGACTTTATGGGAGACTTAGGTTGGATTTGCTAGCAGCAAAACACACTCTAACTCTGTAACTGCACCCTGCTCTACCAACAGCATGGTTATTTTTTGGCCTGGATGTATTTTATAAGGACCAAAATGAAACTGCTCAAAAGGCAACACGAACAGCAAAGATGGATGTAAAAAGTGAATTCAAGAATAAAATCTAAAAATTTGCAAACACAAAATCCACTCTGAATTCAAAGGAAGAAGATACAGTTTTCATCAACTGTCTCTAGACAGTAAGAGGCTATTTACACTAAGAAAGAGTTATCATTTGAAAACAACTTGCTGCCAGAAGCTTTGTATCTGCATCAAGTCTCACTTGGACTGCCATGAAGTCATACACAATCAAGGCTTCAAAAACGCAAGTAAAAGTTCTCTACCCCCAAATTCGCAGCCCATCAGCCCAAAATAGCAGATCCATTGCAAAAATAAGGAGCCAAAGAAACTCAGAGTGGGAGCAGCAAACATATGACTGTGATTTGGGTTTTTCTACTGTAGAGGAGGAAAAAACAAGATCGAAGACAACAGATGAGCTGTATCCATTCAAACTAAGTAGGGTACAAGAGACAAGCCAACTCATTTAAGTGGTTAGGGACTGTCAAATAGTTTCTCACCGAGTGGTTCATTATCTTCTATATATCACATTCAGTGCTTGTGTTTCTGTTAACTGTAGTGATGAACACAGGTTTTCCCTTATCTTCAGAAGCAAGAACAAAAAAATTTACTTTCAACCTAACAGCCATAAATTACAGTTTTCTACCATGCTGAATACTTTAACTATGAAAGTTTAGTAACAGGAAAAGGGATGCGGTCCCTTTGCTATGTATGAGCTGGATCAAGCATTACTGAACAGCTATACAGTAGTATCAAACCCAGAGCAAAAACCGTTCCACCTTTTGTCAAATGGGAAATAACCTGCATGCACCATGCCAGAGGAACTTAACAGCTCTCTTGTCGTTGTGCCAGAAACGCACAGCACTACTCCCTCAGCTATGATGAAACCCTCTGTACAACAATCCTTCCCAAGTGCTGGGCATAATCCTTGTTATCCAAGTGGTGAAACCAGCAAGGGAAGTTTTTCCTCAGGGATAGTTGTGTCACTCAACACTAAGATCAGAAGCCCCAGACCACACACCTTGTACTTTCACCTTCAGGGTAGGTGCTAGAGGTCTCAGGCTCAGCTGGATGAAGCCATGATGGACTCAAGCTAATTCTGGCAACTGTCCTGCTTCACACTGGAAGTGGCCAAATGACAGTGACCTCCAGAGGTACTTTCCAACAAACAGCTCTGTGAGTCCATGGGCAAGAATGTCAGCAGCACAAGAAAGATAAACCAAGACTGTTGTTGCTGAAGAACGGAGGTCAAGTTAAAGGAAGGCAACACTCGGAGTTCGGACCAGCAGGAAGACACAGACAGTTCAGATAAACATATACAAGGCAAAAGGAAAAAGAAGTAAAACACTCAACCCAAACCCCAAACCAAGTGAGATACAGCACTGAAAGATATAAAGGATAACCCAGTGTTAGTGACTCCTAGTCCAAAGCTTTCATACTGCAGTTAAGTATCTCCTGAGCCTGACTGTGCTAGAAGTTTCAAACTACTCTCCTCCAAGCAGCAGGATTGCAATGGGAAGCTAACTGCACAGGAATGGAAGAAGAGCAGCAAAACACACTGGCTGCCCCTGTGTTTTAGGAAGCACATGCCCAGCAAGTGCACTGCTGTCCCCCATTTCTCTGTGAACACATTATCATTGGTAGGACATGACCATCTTTGGTTTTCAATTCTCAGGGTACCAACCTGAAAACCCCAGTGAAAATATCAGTTTAACTTCAGTATTAATGTGCTGAGGTTACTTATCACAAGCAAAATTTCAATACATTAATTGATTTGAAAGGCCTGACTGGTATGTGGGAACAGCCTTGGTGGAGTATTTGTAACAAATTAGTCCTTCCTAGCTGAGCTGCATGCCCAAATCCAGCCCACACAAGATGACTTACTTCAATAGTCTCGGTCTCATGATGGCTAACAGCAAATCCCCATACAAGGCTGAGATGAGACTCACTTCTCCCAGCACAGACTAGTTC